CTGCACTCCAGCCTGGGCGACAGAGTGAGACTGTCTCAAAAATAAAAAAAAATAATAAAAAAAAAATATATATATATGTGTGTGTGTTATGTATACATATATGTGTCTACACACGTCTAAGTGGATTTTTTTTATACGGACCCACATGTTTGTTGTTTTCTTAACACCAAATATTCAAACAGCCACCTTCATGGGATCCATGCGCAGAGGCTGGAGTCCAGCTTCTCCACATGAATCATTCAAATTGTTGGGTTTGTAGATCGTTTGGTCTCACTGATGTATGGCATTTTATTGTGCAACTACACCACAAGGGAGCACGTGTGCGTGTCCTACTTTCTAACCCTTCGTAACTGTTCTGTTCCCGGCTGCTTCCCTACCTTTTTTTCAGTGCCCTTCATTGTATTTCCAGTTGGTCACCTTGTAGCTTAAAGTGAGTTAGTTCATCTTTTTCAATTCCTTTGCTGAGTTACTTCAACTTTTCGCAGCTTCATCAGTGTTTTCTCCCCCTTTGGTCCATTTTCCTTTTGAGATTTAAATTTCTAATTTCACGTTAATTTTTATTTCTGCAAAGGCCTGTTTAATTCAGACTAGATATTGGTAGTTTTCTTCTGCCTGTGGTTGAGAATTTTCATCAGCTGTAAATTAATTCTCATTTTTTTCTTCAGGTAGTTTTTATGGATGTTATCTTCCATTTTCTGCTCATTTTAAAAGGTTTTACTTTCCTTGTCTTGCAAAACCAGTTGGTTCTCTGTAGGCAGTGGCAAGGGGCTTGTGTGGCTGAGTTCCTTGATTCAAGAATGTTCTGTTGATAGAGTTAAATGCTACCAGTTAAGTGCTGGCATTACAGGTGCGAGCCACCACACCTGGCCTGTTTTTTTCCTTTCTACTGCCACTCTAGGCCCCTGCTGCCCCGTCTTTACCCTCTAGTTTCCACCTGACTCTCAGCCCTCACGAGGGTTCTGATGCTGGCTCTAGTGTCAGATGTGCTTTTCTCTGCCTCCACATAAGTTGAAGTTTTTTGGCCAAGCGTGGTGGCTCAATCCTGTAATCCTAGCAACTCTGGGAGACCGAGGGGGGCAGGATCGTTTAAGCCCAGGAGTTCAAGACCAGCCTGGGCAACATAGAGGGACCTCGTCTCTACAAAAAAATATAAAAAATTACCCAGGCATGACATGTGCCTGTGGTCCCAGCTACCCAGGAGGCTGAGGTGGGAAAACCACTTGAGCCTGGGAAGTCAACGCTGCAGGGAACCCTGATCATTTCACTGCACTCCAGCCTGCGTGACAGAGCAAGACCCTGTCTCAAAAAAAAAAAGGACAAAGTTGAATTTTTTTTCTGTCTCATAGATATGCTATAGGCACAGATTATGGGTGATGGCTGTCTTTGGTCTTTATGGTTTTTGGAAGACTACGACAGAGCTTTAGATTTAGGAAGCACCCAATATTCCTTGGAAAACCAGAAGCTCAAGTACCTTCCTCTTAAATGTAAACACACAAGCAAGAAGTACCAAGACATTTAAGGAAAACTTTTAGCATGAAAGACAAAAATTGAAACAGAAAAAAATGTTAAATACTGTATCAATTAAGAGATTACATACTTTAAAATTAGAGAACAAAAAAGAGTTCCTGAAATTTAGAAACCTGATAGCAGACATCATATCCTCACCAGAAGAATGGGAAAACAGATGTACCCAAAGTCAAGACAAAGATACACAGTAACTAGAGAAGAAAATAATGGGTTCAAACCAGTAAAGGTCCTGCCTGGACAAAGGAGTGCCAGAAAGAGAGAACAGAAAATGGATGAAGAAAATTTTTCAAATGTCCCAAACTGGTGGCGTGTGATTTTACAGTCTGCATTCCTAGCACAGAGGTTGACAACTGGCACACATTAAAGCACACTATAGAACTATGGAGCCCTGGGATAAGAACAGTCTATGAGCTTCCACAAAGAAAGATTACACAGAAAGAATCGGAAGTAAGAATGGCTTCAGATTTCTCAGTATCCACACACGAACCTAGAAGCAGTGAGGCAATTCTTTCAAAATTCTGGAACATGATTTCCAAAGTTACCAATGAAATGTGGTGGTAAAACAAAGATACTGGTCTCAGAAAATTTATCATCCATGCATTTCTACAGGAAGTAGTAGAGGGCATGCTCCATTCAGTAAACCAAGGAAGATGAACACATGGGATCCAGGAAACAGAGTGGTGAAGGGAATCTCTAGAACACAGGTGAAGGGAGACCCAAGACAGACAGCTGTGCCCCAGGTGGTAAGGGCAACCAGTCCAGATGGATGCAAGTTAGAAGTCACAGGGAACAAACAAAAAATGAAGACATTAAGGGAAAAAGTAAGTTGTGGAAGAAAGTAACGTCAACATGATTTTACTGTATGTCTCAGCTTTGACTAGCACAGCCATAACAGGAACACAAACCTGATCTCGGTTACAGCATAATAACAGAAGGAAGACCAGGGGAGATGGATGTCTGCTTGCCTATGTGTGGTAGAGATGGAGGAACCTTGGAGAGAGATCTGCCATGTGGAGAAGTTAGGAGAAAACGCGTAACACTGAAAAAAATCAAGATGCAGCAATGCAATTATATTATCTAAACTACTGGGCGGGCAGATATCCAAAGAATCATTTAAAACAGTTCAAACTTGTTTTCTTCAGGGGAAGAAGGTGAGGACTACTGTTTTTTAATTTTTTTTTTTTTTTTTTTTTTTTGAGACTGAGTCTGGCCTCTGTCGCCCAGGCTGGGAGTGCAGTGGCCGGATTCTCAGCTCACTGCAAGCTCCGCCTCCCGGGTTTACGCCATTCTCCTGCCTCAGCCTCCCGAGTAGCTGGGGACTACAGGCGCCGCCACTTCGCCTGGCTAGTTTTTTGTATTTTTTAGTAGAGACGGGGTTTCACCGTGTTAGCCAGGATGGTCTCGATCTCCTGACCTCGTGATCCGCCCGTCTCGGCTCCCAAAGTGCTGGGATTACAGGCTTGAGCCACCGTGCCCGCCAAGAATTTTTAAAGGCAGTAATTTTTTTTTTTTTTTTTTTTTTTTTTGAGAAGTCTTCGTTCTGTTGGCCCAGCTGGAGTGCAGTGGCACAGACTCACTGCAACCTCTGCCTCCCAGGTTCAAGTGATTCTCCTGCCTCAGCCTCCTGAGTAGCTGGAACTACAGGTGTGTGTCACCACACCAGGCTAATTTTTGTATTTTTGGTAGAGACGATGTTTCACCATGTTGGCCAGGCCGGTCTCGAACTCCTGCCTCAGTGATCTGCCTGCCTTGGCCTCCCAAAGTGCTGGGATTACAGGCTGAGCCACCATGACCAACTGGGACTACTGTTTTTCTTAACAACCACAGACAAGTTGATTTAGCCACTTGAACAAAATTAAACAAGAAAAGGAAAGCCCACGCTCAGTTCCTGGCTCTCTACCATTTACAAGCTTTGTGACTGTGAGCAAGTCACTTCTCTGATCCTGTTTCAATTATAAATGGAGACAAAATTTGCTTTGCCTACATTTTGCATGTACTAGGAAAAAAAGTGTAAAGGTATTTTGTAGAAGACATTTGGAATAATTTTGGCAGAAAACATCCTAATCTCAATGAAGTAAAGACCTTATCCAGTAACTTTTTGACCCCAAGGATATCTTGTTCAGAGCAAAAATTATCAATAATTTTTGACGATTGTTTAGTAATTATTTAATAAAAAGAGCTTCAGCTACTCGCAGCTGTTTAGGCTCTCCCTATCTTGTGAAGTGGCTTACATGTAGTGTGTTCTACTTATGAAACTATTTCCAGCTCACGAGGCCATGCCCTGCACACATCTCACTGGTTCCATGGTACATACTTGCGCATCGCCATGGTTCAGATAAAATTCAAACCAAAAACAGAATCTGGGGGATAAATTCATGACCTGAGAAGTCTAAACAATTATCTTTGAAGCAATGGAGACTAGATAGTTACTTCTGAATATTTACAAACTAACTGAAAAAATCCAACATACAATTATGTTATTAGATATGACATAAATATGTATCATTGCAGTTCATACCCAAATACAGCTCTCTTCTTGGATCACATGCACTTTGGGAAAATAATCTGACGCAGTGCCTTCCACCAGTGATTTAATTTAAATCTAAGCTATAAAGTAAGACCTGTCATTAATAAAAACAACACTCCTGCTTCCAAATGATTCACATTTACAACTGATAAAACCATTAGCTATTCAAAGTTCATTAACCCAATTCTCTCTCTCTGCAATTATGCTACCATATTGTTAAAGGAAAGGGGAATAATCCTTGTTGAAGGCCTATTTTGTTCCATGCATTGTAAGGTACTTTGCACACTGTATTTCATTTAGGTCTCATACAACTGTTTAAGGTGTATGAGACCTAAGGCTTTTTTATATACAAAAAGCACATCTCAAACTTCATCTCAAACTCATTTGCCCTTTCCTTCAATCCACCCAGCTATATTTCAATGCAATTCCCAAATGTTCTAAGGCTGGAAAATAACACCATGGGAAATTTTTTTTTTAAATAAGATATATAAACATGTATTTTGATCTCACCTTAATAAGAGCTCTCATATTTTAGTGTATGACCACACAAATTAAACTTTTTTGCATATACACAATGGTACATCTATGACAATTAGAGATAAATGCCTAACCCCACTTCCTTTTGCAGCAGAGGGGTGATACAGATCTGTCAACAGCTATGAATGTTAAAATAATTTTTAAAATCCTATTACAAGGGCAAGAATTCAAGTGCTGAGAATCCAAACAGAATTCATGGATCCCACACACAGTCCAATGACCCCAGGGATGTTTCTAAAATTGTTGAACTCCTATGTTTACTGTTCTCTTTTCTTCATTGTCATTTATAGAAAGTTACACCAAATGTTCTACACTAAGCCAGAAAAGCTTTATCTGATGAAAGGGATCATTTGGAAAGCCAATGTATGATAAAGGATTAAAAAACAAAGACAGCTGGAAATAACCACCATAATGTTTTCAAGAACATTTATACATCTTTTTAATTAGATTAGCTTTACAAGCAACTTGAGAGCTCTTTCATAATGAAACACTGCTTTTCAAATTACATGACTTTATAGTCTATCTGTATATGAATCCTGAAAATCTTTGCCTACTATTGATAAAGGTCTGTGTTTTACAGCTGGTTAATGTGTTGAATAAAAACAGCATTATGAAGCTTTATCTTTAACCAGGATTAAACACATATAGGCCACAAACAGTTTTAAATTTTGTTTGAAATAGAGTCCTGCTTGGTGACAAGTTAATAGTCCCACTAACATGAAATGAATGGATATTAAAGAAATGGCCAACCTGATTTCTTGATCTTTTCACAATGATTTCCAAGAGAGTATATAAACTTTTCCAAAAAATATACAATTTAAGACCTGTCTGGCAAGCACAACCCACAGATAGTAGAATCTGATAATTTTTACAACTGTAGAGGTACACATTGAATGACAACAGGGGCTCCCAAATTAAAAGGCTGTGGCTGTACATCTTGATAATCAAACAAACCTCCCATCAACATAAAACAATTTCTACTAACCCTAAAAAAGATAATGCTTTTGAGTTGTGGCCTAACGCCGCGCACTGTACTATAGACCAGATGGCAAAACAACTTGCGCTCCCAGGTTGGGCTGGCAGAGGCACTTATTGTAGAGAAGTGATGTTATCATCTGGAAGGAAGGGGAAGAAGTAGAACAAAACTGAATATGGGCGAGGAAAAAACAACAAGAAACTCTCACTTTCTCCTGCAAATTCTCCTAAGTGAGGTCACTATACTGAACATTCAATCTCACCCTAAGTCCACACTGTTGGCTTCACTACCCAATTTTTTTTTCATGTTTTACATGAATAGCAATGGCAATCTTTTAATAAAAATTACTGAGCTTCCCATAGAAAAGGTCTCTAATTGAATACAAACTATACAGATGCTAAAAACAGGTGAAATATACAGAAAATTTCTGTATACTCACATTTTGGCAAAGAAGATCAAGGACAGAGATAGAAAACCTAAGCGGGCAAGGTCTTATACCCATAATTCATGCAAAATATGGATACCACCCTTTAGGTTTTGCTAAAAAGCCTAGGAAAGTGAAGTCTAAGCCATCCGTCCCAATTCATTCTTTACCTAACAAGTCTGGGAGGCCTTGTGTGATTTTCTAATATTCCTTCGTTGTTTAAAAAGTAAATAAAACCCATGAAACAAAATAAAATTATCTGATTTTGCACCTGTTTTGTTTTTTCTAAGCTAAACATCTTTCAGTACACGTAAGAAGGCTGGCATCACATCTGGGAAATGCCTTAACAGATACGTGAGGAGTTACTGCACACTAAGTCAGTAACAACACACTTCGGTTTCAATGTGTACATAATCTCCCCCTGATGCTCTTCAACAGAGACAAGGTTCTTGTCTGCAGATCAGACAGATCACAGCATTAGGAAAAAAACATAACAGCAAATTTGGAAGTACGATCAATTTAAGGAGAATCAAAAGGAAAAGACTTAGAAATGGGACATTATTGTCTACATCTACAGGATACATATACCTGAAAGCTTAAGAAAGCCCTTATCTTAGGAACTTGAAGTTGAGGATAATCTCAAGTTCACTTAGTGCCAGTCACTTTAGTTTTTTAAAAAATTTAACTTAAACCCCAGCCTAGGCAACATGGCAAAACCCCGTCTCTACTAAAAATACAAAAATTAGTCAGGCATGGTGGTGTGTGCCTGTAGTCCCAGCTAGTTGGGAGGCTGAGGTGGGAGGATTGCTTGAACTTGGGAGGCGGAGTTTGCAGTGAGCCGAGAATGCACCACTGCACTCCAGCCTGGGTAACAGAGCAAGACTGTCTCAAAAAACAAACAAAGAAAAAAAAAATTAAACTCTTCTTATTGTGTCTTTTTCCTTATAAAACATTAACTAAAAGTTATTGGTAGTAAATGGCAACTGTTTTACAATTAAGTTTCATTACTGACAATGTCAAAAAAAGCAGCAATCTTGAAGAGTTCAAATTAGTGTAAGATAGGAAGGACTACAAAACAATCTGATTTTTCAGTTGTAATTAAAGTGCTCCTTTTCTTATTTTAAGTAAAATAAAATTAATCATCAGTCACTGGCAACAATCATTATTAAGAGGTCTTTTAGGGCAAAATTTAATAGTATGAAGAGGTTTACAAAAATAGATTGATGTTATTTTGAGGAATAATACTGTAATTTTTTCTCAATTCAGTTTAGATAAATTGTACCTAATATAGAAAAATTATCCCAAATTCAAACTTGATATAAAAAAGGGAGAGATGAAATGAACTCAGCTAGATAACAGATCTGGCAAAATATAAGAATGAAAAAAATTCTACACAGGGCACTTATTTCATATCCAGACGTAAAAACCATTTTCAATTAGTAGCTTATCTTCTTCCTGTAAGCAATCACAGATTCGAAGTTGATCATGCAGTACAAAGTCACAGCAGTCAAAATCTTCTGTTTGATGCAACACAAAAAGTTGTTTCTGTTTCCTTATTAAAATGCGAACTGGTTGTCTATTTTTCTTTATCCCATTTATTCTTATTCACAAGTTAACAAATAGCGTCAACAATTATTGTAGATGAAGTGGGGTATTGCTGGATCAAAGGCTCTAGAAGACGTCTTTACCGACTGAATCTGAAGGTTTATTGAGTTCAACCCTCACACCTTTTTCACCTGCAAGGCAAAAAAAAAAAAAATTCATTCATTTGCTAAGCACCAGAGAGCTTCTGCTACTGCATTCCACTGAATTCCTAATAGTATGGACAATATTTCAACTTTGCAAACATCATCTGAAAACTATCACACTTGTACTTTCAAAAACTTCCCTCAGCATTTTATTGTCATGAGGTTTCGAATAGTAAACCTTCAAGGATAAAACTATCCTCTACACAGAGATAATGATTTTGTCTTTTTATTTTAAAAGCCATTTGAATTTCTTCAACAGTGTGTTCAGTGTCTCTGAAAGCACGCTAATGAGCTTCTGCCATAAATAATGGCTTTAAAAATACATAGAAAATGCATGAATATTCCATTTTTATGTAAGGTTGACGTGCAATTACCAATGGCTCTGGAAGACACAGCTAATCAGTAATGTGAATACTCAGTGGATTTTTGGAGATAGAAAGTAGAGTTAAAGAAAAGAAGTTAAGTGGTCCATCAGATGGGAAACAGACCCCCTGCTCTTGGAGAGGCAGTCCATAAGTGGAAGAGAAGGGGAACTGGCATAATTGAAGGATCTTCAGGTTCAGTACAGGAGTGCTGACTGACCTATGTACACCATTAGCAGATAGGGAATCTACATGTCGTGTCACTTACTGATTTTGGCATTTCAATTCATCTTCTTTGTATTAATTTTCTTCATGTCTACATTTAACATGGAAGACCTAGAGTACTGTTTAGAGCACATACATTTGAAAAGGAAAGGGTATTAATTTAAGGAGTGAATGAGAGGAAACCAGATGGCCGTTACCTAGAGTTAAGTGGCCTTTAACTGAAAAGGATAATCACAGAAAACTCAGTTTGTATTTGAATAATTTACTCAGACTTCTTTGCCTCAAATTTTCCGCATCCTTTGACAATTTTTTTGGTTAAAGATAACAATGAAGATGACTTAAGTCTTCTTAAAAAACAAGGCAAATAAGAAATCTGATAAAAAACAAAAAGTAAGTATTCGTGGTGTTAACAAAGACTATGCTTGAGTTTCCTGAAAGCATCACCTGATTGCAGGGTATTTCTGTACCAATATATCCTGGCCCCAAATGACGTTTACCTGTTAGATATTTTACTTTAGCTCGTGCTCTCTCATCTGCATCAAAATACCAAACAGTTATTGCGTACCTAAAAGAAAATTTAGAATAGGATAAGAATGATCACACTGCGGGGAAAAAGTGGTATTTTGCTGCAATGGTATATTAAAACTTGTAATGCCAAAATTATGCCTAAATTGGAATGACATCAAAGGATAAATTTAACAGCTTATTTATACAGTAACCTTGGTGCTAAAGAGTATAGCTGAGAACCAGGGGAGGCTAAAATTGATGCCTGAAGTTGATGAGTTTTTGTGACTTTCTTAACACTTATTTCAATTACTTATTTTTTGCCAGGGAACTGCAGATCAGAAAGAGACAACAGGCCAGGCACGATGGCTCACGCCTGTAATCCCAGCACTTTGGGAGGCCGAGGTGGGTGCATCACGAGGTCAGGACTTCAAGACCAACCTGGCCAATATAGCGAAACCCCATCTCTACTAAAAAAAAAAAAAAATCAGCCGTGCGTGGTGGCACATGCCTATAGCCCCAGCTACTCAGGAGGCTGAGGCAGGAGAATCGCTTGAACTTGGGAGGTGGAGGTTGCAGTGAGCCGAGATCACACCACTGCACTCCAGCCTAGGCGACAGTGTGAGCCTCCATCTTAAAAAAAAAGAGAGACAATGAAAGGGTAAAAGAATGGCTGTTACAGAAAAAGCACATTATCAATAGCATAAGTACTAAAAGAAAAGAAAAGAAACAGATAAAAGGACTCAAGGCATTGCAAGCTAACAGTTTCAACAGTCCCTGAGGACATCACTACATTATAGCAAAGAGTAATGATGGATGTTTACAATTACAACCTTGACAAAGTTAAATTACACTAAGAAGTTTTAAGGATTTTTATCAAAGCAATTATACTGTGTTTTGTGTTTAAACTTTGTCTAAACTTCATTTTTCTGAAAATCTGACTTACTTAGAATATTTCATTCCACCAATAAGTGAGGCATCTCTGGTTTATTAAATACTACAAAAGACATAGTTATGCCTTCTGATATAAATAATGGGGAAAATGTACAAATGCTATAGAAAGTGAAAGTATACTACAAATCACCAGTTCCTAGGCAGAATATAGCAATTAGTTCAAATATATTGTGGATTGTGGCCAGTGGTCACAGGGGAAAAAGCAACGTTGATCAGATATAGAGCCAGTAAATATGACAGAATGAAAAATCACGTAACGTATTTTGAAGTAAAGAGTCTGGGAGTTTAGACAACTGGGAGCCTGAGGTGTACAGACCCCACCACTGGTGAATCACAGAGCTGAGATCTAAGGAGGCCTCCTGACTTCCAGACCAGACTCTGCTGTTTCCAGACTGCCACTACCTTTCTTACCATGTGGCTTCTTCTACTTTCGGGTGGCCCTGGAAATCGGAAAGGGCTCAGATACATCATTGTATGTATCTTTTGCCCATGCCCTAAACTTTTAGTTACTTAGCAATCAGAATTCTACTATCTGGATCAACAACTTACCTTATGTCATTCTAACTTTCCAGCCTTATCACCCATTCTAGATAAGATCAGAATAGGATTCTACTTCAAGAATCCTTTTCCTCACATGATTTTCTGTGCCTTAACTGGAACAACTACGCCTTTTCCCCCAGAACTTTACTAACACGACTGCACTCCTTGCCTCTCCTCAGCTACGCCAGCTAAGCCTCTCCCTTCAAGGCGCACTTGCCCATCTCTCCAATGTAGCACCACCTTCGTTCCTCTTAAATCCTGTAGCACCTAGCCTCCATGTCATCTGGCATTTATTTACTGTAAACTCCCAAATGTCTGTTATTTATTTATCTAAAAAGGACACAACCAAACACTCAAGATTTCATAAAAAGGAAGGTCTATGAGGCAGTTTCTGGGTCAGAAAATCTTTATAGAAGCAGCAGGGGGCAGAGACGGCACTGAGATGCCACTGGGAAGAGACACTGAATTGAAAAGGGCACATTATGTGATGTGACAGTCTTTCTTTGGTTTCCATTCAGGATTTCTTACCATCTCTGGCTACAACCTGCTTAGCTTAGCTAGCTACTTATTATGTGAATTAGGATGCAGGCAACACATCTCAGAATGCAGGAAGAAAAAAGGTACAGCGGATAATCAAGTCGTTAGAGTCGACCATCACTACTAACGCCAACTTTCCACCCAGCACATCTAAGCCTGTGCCTCTTCTCGCCGCCCTAGCATCTCCTAAGTCAGATACAGCAAACGAATGCCAGGAGCTCACTATCAGAATGTTCCAAGACCTTTCCATAATAAAAAGGAAGTATTTTAAAAACGGTACTATTTTTCTACAAATATTTACTTTCATGATAATGTCTACAATATCTCGTTTTGACAGCCAGAGCATTTTGAGTCAGGATAAATGTTTTTAAAAAAAGCATTTAAAATAAAGCACTAAACATAATAGGCTGCAAATACCCTGTAGAAAAAGTATAATGAAACAGATGCTCACTATTTGTAAAACTAATAGGATCATTTTTCTAACATTAACTGCCACACATGGTAACCTGTTCTCTACTTTTCTTTCTTCCGTTTTTCTCTTCACTTCTACTCTCTGGTTACCTCTGATTTTTCTACTATGTATTCATTTTCCTATGTTGTCCCTCTCTTTTGTCCCTCACCACCTTTTAAAAAACCCTTTTCCTTTTCTTGATCTTTCTCTCTCCCAAGTAAAATACTCCTACAAAAATCAAAGAATGGATAGTAGTTAAGAGATGCACTAAGCAAGGAGAGAGTGCTAGAAAGATGGGAGGGCTTGTGCTTCCCTTTCTTCAGAGTGGCTGTGCAGAGAAAGACACATTTAGTACTAACTGTTAATGAGTCTTATACAATTATTTGAATTCAGATGACTGTGCAACATAAATCTTATACAATTATTCAAATTAAAATGACTGTGAAAAGTACCTGGCAGGAAAATACTCCTTAGAAAGCTTTCAAGTTTACTCTACAGATTCCCTCCTGTCCTACCATACTCTAAACCAATTTTTTCTGAAAAGGAATACTACCTTGTAGCATATGCTGGTTGTACTTCATGAGGGTTGCGACGGTCAGACCAGAAAAACAGCAGTCTATCAAATTTGGGTTCAATGTCAGCAAACTGGGCTTTGCCTTCTGGAAAAATTCGAAGTATACCTCCACTTACCTAGGAAAAGAGACAAATCTGTAAGTAGGAGTAACCAAAAACGCTACAAGATTAAATTTAGGGGAAAAAAAAGAGACAATTTCAATGTCTTAATTGGATTATTCACAAATACATCTCAATTAATAAAGTATGAAGATGAGCTGCAATTTTAAAAGTAGATGCATTGATGCAAGGAAAAATTTAGTTCTTATTTCAGGGATATTTATTTATTTATTTATTTATTTATTTATTTATTGAGATGGAGTCTCGCTGTCACCCAGGCTGGAGTGTAGTGGCACAATCTCAGCTCACTACAATCTCCGCCTCCTAGGTACAAGCAATTCTCCGGCCTCAGCCTCCTGAGTAGCTGGGATTACAGGTATGCGCCACCATGCCCCGCTAATTTTTGTATTTTTAGTAGAGATGTGTTTTCACCATGTTGGTCAGGCTGAACTCGAACTCCTGACCTCAGGTCATCTGCCCACCTCAGCCTCCCAAAGTGCTGGGATTACAACTGTGAGCCACTGTGCCCAGCCATTTTAGGGATTTTTATAAGTATCCGATGAAACACAAGAATGTTATCTGAATTTAAAAGTCTTAAAATGATGCTTGAAAGTTTTTAAAACTACTAAACATTTATTTATGCTAATGATATGCTTAACCCACTCTTGAAATAGACTTCAAGAAATTTTGAAAAAATTATTATTAGAAATAGATTATGTCAAATAAAGAGTTTACCATACTTTAAATTTCAATAAACAATAGGATAGTCACAGATACCTCTCATTTAAATAATTCAGTGTATCAGTAGAAAGTGTCATCATTTATTATGACCATCATTACTGTCATCATCACCATCACCATCAGCATGTAGTCCATTAGAACCTGTGGCTCTCCCTTTCCAGATTGGGCTTGATGCACCAGCTGCTTGTGAAACTTGATTCTATCCATAAAGGATTATTATTTACCTAAACACCAACTAGGCATCAAATCACAGTGGGAACTGTGGTGGACTCTGGGTGCAGAGTAGGGAATAATGCAGACAGGCTTTGTCCTTGTGGTGTTTAAGATCTGGGGCTAGGCAAAACTCAACCAACCGAGTAGCTCCTTACTCTTGAATAACTACACTCCGAAGCAGGTAGACTCTTAAAATTGAAAGAAACTCTAACACCTGGTCAGGACAGCATGGACTTTGAGCCTAAACCTAGAATCTATAGTTAAAGCTTTATCAGGCTCACCATCAGGTAAGTTAAATTCTAGCTACTTTGATACCCCTGCCAACCTCCTCAGGTTCCAGTGTTGTTCCAAGTGATTCCCCAGGCTACTATGCAAATATCTGAAGAACCTCCAAACTGAGAACGTGTTTTCTTTCCTTTTTTCCTGCTCCCTTTCCTTTGACTCAAGTCACTGGGAGTACCACAGGTGACCTGCTGAAAATGTTTTAAGAGAAATGGCTACTTGACACATCCACTCTTCTTCCTCTGAATTAGGTGGCCCTCCTGTGTGCTCTCATAGCAATCTGTCTTGACACTTTGCATAACTATCTGTAACTGTCAATCTTTCTGATCTGTATCCTCCAAGCTCTGCCAGGGCTAATTCCATTTCTGCTATATCCCTAGCATCTAGAACATCTGGCACACTACATATTCAGTGCAATCTTGCAACGGAAAACTTCTATTCCACATATAAAACACTAGGGATGTTTTTCTGCCTATGTCCTAATTTAAAACCTACATATTAATGACCCTAAGTCTTATAGAAATTGTAAGATTAGCCTAGAAAAAGCGTAACAAAATCTGGAAGTTAGAAGTTGATGAAACACAGTTCTAGCTTTCCAGCTATTCACAAAATCTGAAAAAAAGTCAATTTTTAAATTTTAACTAAAGTTACACCAATCTGTTTTGCGCCTTGAGCTCAAATTCAATTACAAAATTTACTTCTCTACTTCAAACTTTGAAAGCTGTAACAGAAAAACCATGCTTGTTGACATAATGCCTCAATATATACTTAGCAGAAAGTTTAGCTCCATTCTGAACCTGGACTAGGGCAGAGAAAACTCTTCAAATCAGTGTGTGTTTTAAAAAGATTACTGGAGCACTGTGAGCATATTCTAAACTTAAAACACTTTTTAGGGTAGGATTAGGTTTTTGTACATTTAAGACTCAGGCAGTTTCCATGTGTGTGTTTTGGGGGATGCAGAGAAAGAGGTGTTTTAAAGGTTATTTGACCTTTACACCTGGCTACACAAGTATGTTCACTTTGTGAAAATCCACTGAACTATACACAAGCCACTTTTCTATTTGAATATTTTACTTAAGATTTTAAAAAATCAACCAAAAAATTAGTCTGTACAGTCTCTACTGTAGTAATACATGACATATTTTAAAAAATCATTTAAATTTAATGAGACTCACGCTAATATTAAGAAAATATATATTTAAAACAAGAGAGATTAAATATACTGTACAGTCCAACTGATTTTACAGGGCTTGACAGTACTGATAAAATTCCAGTTTTTTAATAATCAGGGAAAGACTGAATCCTGCCTCCAATATTCAATTAAACAACTCAATGACATACAATATTTTTACAAAAATGCAAAGAATAACATAGCAAATAATCCTTATTTCCTTAACAATTATCTATAATCTCCCCCAAAGCCATTATAAAACAACTGTTCTCAGAAGTGTTTGTCTAAAAACTATTAAAAGGAAAATATTTTAATAAAGGTCACTTTTCTAAAAAAGTTAGATTTTAGATAAATGCTCTAATATCTGAAAATAAATGAATCCACTTTTAAAGATTTATCAGTACTTTTTTATATGGTTTTACTGAGTTATAACTGATATACAAAAATGCCTATCTTTAACATTTACGATTTGATGAGTTTGGATGTATATGCACACCCCCGTGACACACCACAACCAAGATAATAAACATATCCATCACCTCTCAAAGTTCGTTTCCCTTCCCTTAACCTCGTGTGTGTATGTGCGCGCGCGCGCGTGTGTGTGTGTTTACAACACTGAACATGGAATCTACTCTCTTAAATGTTTAAGTGCACAACACTACATTGTTAACTACAGGTATTATGTTGTATAACTTAGACTAGTATTTGTTTCATTTTACAAAAATCCACTCCTAATACCTGAGACTGAAACAAACTTAAGAGGAAAATTTTTAACTGTGTCTGTGACAGTCTCATCTATCAGAAGTATGAACGTAATGCTTTTGTAAGAAAAAAATAAATGCTAAATTAAGTTGCATACCTTGGCATCCCAGTCTTTATTAAGATAATATATACATGTCACACATCTTCCATCTCCATTTGGATTATCAACATGACGTACGTAACCCGTTCCATTGCCCGGATAACAAGCAACCATGGCCTGTAATAATAATAATAATGATGATGATTATTAAAGTCCACATATAAATAAAAAGAGAACAGCTAATAAATCAGATCTCTGATTTTTGGCTACTGATTTACACTTAGATTCTTCTAATAAAAATAATATTTTGTAGATAAGAAAGATAAGGCTATTCTACATTAATATTTATAGGGAACACAAGATAGGCTGATGAACAATTCAAGGACTGGTGAATTCTGCTTCACAGTGGTAACTCCAAAGATCAGAAAATTTTCATGGTCCTACTTTCACAGTCATATAAATATAGATAATCAAGATCAAGTGAGTTTTTGTCCTGCTCCATGGGAGATTTCTCTCTTCCTTGAGCTCACCTAAGAACACCTACTTTACCATCTGATAGGTGAACCAACCCAGTCAAACACCCCACCTGACACTGTCTCTGAATGGTACCAATGTTTTTTTTTTTTTTTTTTTTTTTTGAGACAGGGTCTGGCTCTGTTGTTGAGGTTGGAGTGCAGTGGTGCAATCATGGCTCACTGCGGCCTCAACCTCCTGGGCTCAGGTGATTCTCCCACCTCAGCCTCCTAAGTAGCTAGGACTACAAGCACGTGTCACCAGGCTGGTTAATTTTTGTATTTTTTTGTAGAGATGGGGTCTTACTATGTTGTAATAGGGATCATTTAGGTCAACTCAACTCCAAACATTAATTCATTTAATGTCAGTGATTTTTTTTTTTTTTTAAAGACTAAACAAATTAGCTTATGTAAGTTTACCCTCTTTGAATCAGAAAGAAAATTATTTGCTCAGATTATAACATGATACGGTTCAGAAGATTGCTGGATGTTAAGCATAAAGGTAGAAAAGAGGCCCAAAATAAAAAGCACAAAAAAACTTCCATATTCTAGGTGTACATGATAATCAACTGAAATTGGTAAAGGAATTTTTAAAAAGTTCTCAGGAATTATGAAGAAAACAGACAAAGACGTTCAAGGTTATGAACTATTCTTGTTTTTGTTTGTTTTTTTAACGGAGTCTTGCTCTGTCGCCCAGGCTGGAGTGCAGTGGCATGATCTCAGCTCAATGCCTCCGCCTCCCAGGTTCAAGCAATTCTCCTGCCTCAGCCTCCTGAATAGCTGGGATTACAGGTGCATGCTGCCATGCCCGGCTACTTTTTGTATTTTTAGTAGATACAGGGATTCACCATGTTGGGCAGGCTGGTCTTGAACTCCTGACCTCAAGTGATCCTCCTGCCTCAGCCTCCCAAAGTACTGGAATTATAGGCATGAGCCACCACGCCCCCCAGTTTGTTATGAGCTATTCTTGAAGTCCTTTATTTCTTCATATATTAAAGTCAATGAATTAGCATAAAGTTATCAAACAGTAACCAAATTGTTCTACTAAAGAAAAATGCTAATTTTTAAAATTTACTTCCCATCCCTAAGAAACTGAGAGGCATCTTAAACCTAAATCCTTATTTAAAAATCCTGTTTTCCTAGACACTCTGAATTCACTGCTCTTTATGAGAAGCAGAATTTTTGGAGAACATTACATATGTCTCTGTTTTTCCTGACTCCAGACAGACTTAAGTTCCTTCTTTCAGCACTGGAGGTTGGTAACAACCAGGAGTGTGGCATGGGCTTAGTGGGTTTAAGTGATCAATAAATGATGAGCCCAAATGATTTTCCTGTCACTAGCTACCAAGGAAAGAAGTTTACCTTGAATGGTAACTGTAAGAGAGTACTAATTTAACAACACAATTACTCCATTTGTGGTTAACTGAGGTAATCATGATGAATTACACAATATATTGTTATTAATGGGAAAGAAGGGGGAAACCTGAACTCTACATCTCAAAAAAGTTAATTTGGGCCTTTCCAACTATCTGGTAACTTCAGTATCTCTTGTGCAAAGAAGGAAGGGGAAAATATTTGTCATTCACTCACCCCATCGCATCCCATATATCCATTTAACAAATACCTCTTGAGCATCTACTATGTATATGAAAGGCACAGGGGCTAAAATGATGAACGAAAGAGACAAGGTCCCTTGCACTCATTGACAGTAGTCCCTCCTTAAAAGAAGTTTTGCTTTCTGTGATTTCAGTTACCTTTGGTCAACTTAGTCCAAAAATATTAAATGGAAAATTTCAGAAATAAATAGTTCATAAATTGCACACCGTTCTGAGGAGTGCACTGAAATACCTTGTAATCCTGCCCTGTTTTGCCTGGGATGAATCATCCCTTTGTCCAGCATATCCACACTGTAGATGCTATCCCGCCCATTAGTCATTTAGTAGCCTTCTAGGTTATCAGAGCAATCATCATGGTACTTGTGTTCAAGAAAACCTTATTTTATTTAATAACAGCTCAAAGTGCAAGAGTAGCAATGTTGGCATACTGTTATAATTGTTCTATTTTATTGTTGTTGTTAATCTCTTACTTTATAAATTAAGTTTTATTATAGGTATGTATGTACAGGAAAAAACACAGTATATATAGGATTTGGTACTATCCACAGTTTCAGGCATCCACTTTGATCTCGGAAGGTATTGCCCTCAGATAAGAGGGGACTATTGTACTATGAAATCTGGTCTAATGGCATAATTAGCCAATAAACAGATATATAATATAATGTTAGGTAGTGAAAAGTTGTATTTTCTTAAGAAATGAAAAAAATTAAGTATATAGAGAATGATGACATGATATTCTTGAACAGTGGTTGACATCTCGGCTTACTTAAATGAAGAGAGCGGCAAGTTGGGCAAATCTCTGAAGGGAGAGCAATGTGGCAAAGGGAAAATGAGTGCTCAAAGGCTGAACAAGGCAGGAAAGAACAGCAGGCCAGTGTGGCAGGAACACAGCGAGCACGGGCCAATGTGATCAGAGAGGAACCAGGTAACCCAGAGCTGCAGGGCCTGGTAAGCCACAGGAAGGTCTTTGGATATTGTGCTAAGAAGGGACAGGAAGCCAATAGAGAATGTATCTGACTAATGTTTTAAGAATATCAGTTTCAAGTCTGTATAAATAAAAACCACCACAACAACCTCAATATCGCTTACCACCTAACATGTATTGGACATTTGCTGTTTGCCACGTCCTAAGTAATTTGTGCATAATAAGTTGTCTGACACAACCATGTGAGGTAAACAGTATCATTGTTCTCATCCTCACTCCCTAAACTGAGGTTTAGAAAGGCTAACTACTATTCGCAAAGTCACATGACAGGGAATCTGGTTCCAGAACCCACGGAATCAACTACTGTACTAGATTGCAGGAAGGAAAGAGTGAAAAGAGAAGACTAAGTTAGCTATTACAGTTTTCGGGCAAGAAACCAAAGAGGCCGAGCCCAGAGTAGCAAAGTGGGGTGTATTCTGAAGGCAGAAAACCAACATGATTTGCTAATGGGTGGAGAATAAGAAGAGTCAAGAATGACTTTGGGGTTTTCAGCCTAGGTAAGTAAATGAATGGAGTCACTGTACATGAAAATGGAAACACTAGGTGAAAGAGCGTTTTATTAACAAGCATTGGGTAGGAGGGGAGTTAGTTGATCGGTAACTGTCAAAATGAGTCAGACATCCCAGAATAGAACAAAACTGAGGGCACCAGGATTATCCCCCAACATGGGATCTGTTTGTATTAGTCACTTCTAAACTGCTTTCCTTAAAGCCCTGGAGCCCTAGGGAGGTATCTAGGGGTGGGGACTAATGGGGAATGAAGTGATATGAGAAGAGGCCAAACAAGCAGGTTTTACCCCAACCTTCAACTAGAGGCAGTGCTTAGCTGTTTCCTATGTAGTATTTGAATTCCAAGTGAGGATTCTTTGAAAAAATAAAAGGCACAATAAAGAAAAGTTTTAAATGTCACGTTTTGAAGAAAAGTTTTAATAAATTTAATTTAATTGTGTTAAGTTCTATAATCCCCAGTATTGCTCAATTATCACCATCTAAATGTATTATTTAAAAGTGGCCATTACCACTTTAGTCTTATCTGGCATTCCCTAGGTCCCTTGTGCTCTGCTCTGGTGACACGAATACTGAAAAATGAAGAGAAAGGAAGAAGGGAGAGGAGATGAGTGCTCCACAGGGCCTGCATGGATCGCCAACTCAATTAACTTGCCAATACCAGCCCCAGGAAAGGCAGTTCACAACTATAATTGTAAAAAGGATAACACGAAAAACACCAACGTAACCCTATGAACGAGAAAGCCTGAAAAAGAAACGACTATATAATTCTGAGGTAAATTCCTAATTTGCCACCTTATAGAGACACCAACTTTAAATGTTTCAATTTCCCATTGAGAAAAACCTATTTATACATAAACAAAATAAAACAATACTATTTGTTTCTTTTCTGATAGGAAAATATATATGATTAAAGATGTTCTTTTTATGTTTTCAGAGACAAGGTCTCACTATGTTGCCCAGGCTGGTCTTCAACTCCTGGGCTCAAACAATCTGTCTGCCCCGGCCTCCCAAAGTGCTAGGACTACAGGCGTGAGCCACTGTGCCTGGCTGATTGAGAATGTTCTTAAGATAGGAAACAGCATAAATTTGTTTTTCACTCTGAGAATAAAAGGAAGAGGTCTGCAATGCCTCTGAGGAATCTAGAGACATTTATTTCTAGCATTAGAAGGCTTAAATACGAAGCTGAACCAGGAAACTTATTTTTCTTTTTTGAGCTGAATTATTGTAAAACAGAGATACAAAGCTTAGAGAACTAAACTTTGATGGGTTATAGAACTACTATTTTTACCCTGAATGAAGGGAAAAGGTTTACTATCAGAAAAGTTATCCTATTAAACTATATTATTAAAGCACTATGCTTTGACATAGCACTATGCCTTATGTAGAGGTTGATAGCTAACATCTACTCATCACTCATAGCCCAGGCATGGATTACCTCGGCCACTCTTTACAGCAAACCTTAGGTAGGCACAATTTCTCCCCCATTTTAGAGACCAGAAAACTACACTACAGTGAAAAGAAAAAAATTGCCAAAGGTCAGAGACTCTAAATGGCA